TTTCAAGATTTTAAAAGTGGACATAAAGCTATCTTCGGCTTTCCATCCTCAAACTGATGGACAAACAGAGCGCGTAAACCAAGTCTTGGAGCAATATTTAAGGTGTACTATCAACTACCAACAAGATGATTGGACAACCCTTCTGCCATTGGCAGAGTTTGCTTATAATAATACGGTACATTCTTCCACGCAACAAACACCTTTCTTTGCCAATTATGGCTATCATCCACGACTTGATACTTTTGATTTTTCAAAAGTTGATAATCCTGCAGCAGAAGATATGGCAAATCGGTTGTCAGAGTTACATGCAATAATGAAGACGCAATTGAAGGAAGCTCAAGAACGACAAAAAATAAACGTAGATCTATATCGTAAGGAGCAACCACAAATCAACGTGGATGATAAGGTATGGCTACTTCGTCGCAATATCAAGACTACTCGACCTTGTGACAAGTTGGACTATCGTAGGCTTGGCCCCTTTTCTGTTTCTGAACAGATCAACCCAGTTGCATATCGGTTACATCTACCGGAGTCAATGAAGATCCATCCTGTATTCCACGTGTCTCTTCTTGAACCATATAAGACAGTGGATATACAAGAAAGAAGACAAATGCCACCGCCTCCTATAGAAGTAGATAATAATGAAGAATTTGAGGTGGAAGAGATATTAGACTCAAGGCGGCGCCGAAATGAGCTGGAATATCTTGTTCATTGGCGCGGATATGATATTAGTGAACGCACATGGGAGCCATCCAGGAATCTAGGAAATGCATCAGCTAAAGTCAAAGTTTTTCATCAACGACATCCATCAAAACCAAGATAAAAATCTCTCTTATAAAAGAGACAAGATTGAGGCAAGATAACATTCAATTTTCTATCCTTGTTTGTAACTTCTTTGCATTTGTGACGCTAATTAGATGGAGAGCCAACAACCAGTGGATTCAACTCAAGAACCTTCGTTTGCTGACCTGCCGGACGAGACATTACGATTGTCACAACCTTCAAGACGACGCAATCGACATGAAGATCTTCAAGAACGACATATTCTTCCTCGAACAGATGGTGAGATACAACGCGTTTGGTATCACGATTTGGGAAGGGACTCTCGATGTTTGGTGATTTTGCTAGAGGTAGGAACAACTCGTGATGGTGTTCCGAATATTCTATTCGAAGGAAGTTACGAAGGCCTCAACAATGATCAAATAACTGGGTGGACTTCCCGCCCTGATATGGAACACTACCAATGGTTGAGAGGCCCTATCAATCATCTTCGAAGAGAACAGAGATCAGAGTATGTTGCGAATACAATTCGTCGCATCATAGATTTTCTCAACATATGATGACCGCTCCTCGTGGAACTCGTCTCTAGAAAGGGGGGTAATGTCACGGCCATAATCATGTAAGCTAATAATTACATATAGAAATAGGTAGAAGTAAGTAAAAGTAGATAAAAGTAAGTTAATTCTATAATATTTAATATAGAAGCTTCCTAGAAACTTCCTAGATGCTGCTTTGACTTCATAGGTGTCTTTAATTGACTTTTTGGATTAAAAACGTGGTCAACAAGTTGGCCATGTGCCACACATGTTGTTAGCTTGAAGATCAAGCTAACTATGTGGCCTACACGTAGAAAAACTTGCCTTGTAAGTCAAGGCATGTGTCCTACAAAGTCAACACATATTGGAGGTCCTATAGAACGTCGCCACGTAGCCCCTAGTTAGATAGTATATATAGAGACAAGAGTGAAGGCTTCTTCACTCTTGTCAACTCCTTTCTTGCTTCTAGTCCAGGTTCAAGAGTCTTTAGTTTCTTATCTTGTAGCAATAGCCATTCCAGTTTCCTTTTAATATACCTACTTGTTTATATTTTGACTTATTATATCGAGATAGCCTTTTGGTGTATATTTTCCCTCATCGAGTCTTTGTCCTTGACACTTTTCTTCCTACTTTATCTATTGGCAGCTCTCTTCTAATATGATATAAAATTAAAGTTGATTGAATGTGAGATAGTTGTTGCCACTTTTATAATGACTAAGAAAGTAGTCATAGGAGTTTGAAAGGGACTTAATAACTATTTGTATATGAACTAAGTCTTCTAGTTTTTACTCCAATAGTTGGCAATTCTACAATGATGCAATAAAATTGGAAGAAGTAATGTTCAATCTCCAAGTTCTTTAAGAATGCTATGAATCCTACTCTATTTTTTAAATTATATTTTTACTATTATTAATACTCTCAAAGGATTCTTTCAAGAAGTCTTATAGTTTCTTAAACTTGTAGTAGTCAATTAGAACCACAAGAAAGCTTAACTTTATGACATGGTCAATATGAACATTTGTTGTTTGAATCTATCTTTGAAATTTTTGCTATCAAAGTCTCTAAAATCCTTCTTATTTTATAAAGAGGTGTTGTCAAGAGGTAGAAAGAAAAGTTTCCAAAGTTTCTTTTATTTGACAATTTAGATTATCATATATTTCTACAGATAAAAATTTTACTATTTTGCAAGCTTAATTTTATCCAAGATGGAAATGACTTTTAATATTGCAAGTTTAGTATGAATAGTAGACAAAATAGAGAAAGACAGACAAACATACATATTTTAAAGAAACTAATTTGCTCTAATACCATGAAAGTATATACTATGACATTAATATGTTTCTTAAATATAACTTTGTAATTGAATATATATACTCAAAGAGATACTAAAAAAATAAGAATATATTATTTATTTATGGAGACAAGAGTAATATATGTTAGTTTAAGTAATCAAATAAATGTTATTCATCTATCTGATAAAATTTTATGAGACTCAAAAAGTATATCTCTAATACAAATACAAAAACTTGTGTCATAATGATTTGTAGCATGCTAATTTATTAGATAATATGTTATCTCATAAAATTTTATAACAATGACTATTTTATTTGTATCAAATATAGTTCATGCCAAAAATGTTATACTTCATGATTTCAGCAATGGTGAAGTCCACACATTTGATAAAATTAGTAATAAGATATTTTATTCAATAAAGACCAAGAATTGAATGTTGTAATTTCAAAAGAAAAGCTGAATAAGAATAACGTCATTCTACTTAAGTGGTAAATAATCTAAATTTTAAAATTAGATTATATATTACTTACATTATACATATACAAAAAATATTACTTAACATATAGGCATATTGTAGTATTGAAAATCTTCCTCCATTATTCTTTGTTGTAACATTTGCTATAGTGGTAAGTGACAAAGATATGTTATATTGCAACTTACAAATCTATTAAGATTTTTATAAAGTTGCCACTGTTCTCTTTCCAAGTTTGACAATAATGACTTACAAAGATTTTGGATAGCAATATATAAAAAATATGTTGAAGTTTGTAAATAATATGATTGGAAGCATTTAGTTTTTTGATATAAAAATAATGCTTTTGGTTGGCTTATTTTCATTGTTTGCCTTTGCTTGGTACATACCACCCTAATACCAGGTAGCATCCTTTGTATGCTCAAGTTATTGACTAGCCTTTAATATCTACAGACATTACTTGTTCATCATCATAACTAATTTTCTTAAAATGGTCTATTTGTTCATTTGTGAACAAAATTCTCATATTCAACACTTTTGGCTTTTATTGTTTTGTGCTTACCTTAAATATTCAGGAGTTTATCTTACCTAGATGCAATATTTTAAGTATATTTAAGTTGTTACATTCAAGTCTTTTGTTTTACTATCTCAAATTAATTTCTCTTTATTCTTTAGAAATTAAATCTGAAATGGTAGACACTATTCAAGGATTACTCTTGCTTAGTTCTTCTGCATTGCACCTCAATAATAACATCGAAGGTGTGCATGAGGTTTCGTGAAGGATTCAATTTACTGAGAGCAGTGTCTCAGATTGATCATAGATTGCGAAACAAGTTCCTGAATGAAGATTCGCATCTCACTTTAGAAATGGATTTTCAGGGTAATTCTGCCACTGATTTTCCATTAAACATGAAGAAAACTCGCTGGGTGCGTGTTCAGAATATCTATCCCATGCGTCTTGCAGCTCTTTTTGTTACTAATCTTACAGCTGTGCACATAATTGCAGACATTGCTCTTCCGGTTTTCTTTCTTTTTCAAAGTGCTGAACCCTTTTCTTTCTGTGTGAATATCTCAGTTGGAATCCTTTTCAGGAGTTTGATAGTGGAAATTCACGATAACCTAATAGGCTAAGCAGGTGCAGACCTGAGCAGTCGATGCATGGCTGGTAACTGCAGGTGATAAAGCCATCAACCAATACTTTCTTTTACAACTTGTGACTGCATGTTGATTAATCCATAACTAAAACTCGAGGCTCTTGTCTTTCATTTTACAATTTTCATTAAAATGAAATATCTTCTCCACATATATTTATGAGAAAATTTGGAAATTAGTCATTTTAAACAAGGATAAAACACTTTACACACCAATCTTTTATGCAATCAGTTAAACTGCAATTAATGCATCAATTTTAGTGTAGATTTCATTCTACATTCTACATTCATCTTCATTTTAAACAAGACATTAAATAAAGTAGGCTAAAGTCTAATTTGGATACAAATTTATTTTGCACAATTTAAAATTAATTACACAACATTTATAAAAAAAAATATCATGTATTTAAATATAAAATTAATCATGTTCTTTATCAAGAATTTTTTTCATTCAACACTGAAAATTTTAAAAAACCAAGTTCTTCATATTTTAAAAGGTTTCAAAGTACAAATGGATCTTAAGTTGCCTTGTCTACCAAAGATACAGTATCAAACTTAATGTTGGTGTGAACCCGGTCCAAAATTTCTCATGGTAGTGTGAACGCGATAGTAGCGAGAATGAGGTTTAATAGTAGTGTGAACGGGGATCAAGTCCAATAAATTCCAATAGTAATGTGAACGAGGTATAAAACCTGAACCTCACGTGTGAACGCGGAGTAGTAATAAAGCATGCGTACTATATGTGAAGGGGGCAGTGAGACAGCCCGGGTGAAGCGAGGGGAGAGGAGGATTGCAAGGAGGGCCCCGAGCGTGATGAAGAAGATTGGCAGCATGCATGTTGCCAGGGTTTGTTAAACACAAATCTCGCTACACCCGATTTGCTTTCGCTACCACTACTTCTTCTTCTTCTTCTTCTTCTTCTTCTGTTACACTCTTCTGCTCCAGAATGATGAGATCACCGGATCGAACTACTGCTTTACTTTTTGAACTCTCGTTTTCGAATACAACGTTTCGCTGTTTCTTGATAGCTTGATTAGTCTCCAATGCAGACGAAGGTAACATGAATAAAGAGCAAGCGCTACAGGAACAGCAATTTGAAATCGCAAGCATGGAATCACCAATGCGCATGATGCTGCTGGATGCCGTTTTCACAGACGCTCCGGCTTCCGTATCCGCCACGCCGCCTTCGGTATGTAGATCTGTCTTGTTTTCGTTTCATACGATTCTCGTTTGTTTACTTGTGTTGTGCCATTTACCTTGGCTGAGTCACCATCAGAATTTTTAAATTAACATTGTTCATATTTATACTGTGTACCTCGGATAGTTCACGCTTGTTGTAGGAATAGTAGACCAACCAATTTTGACAGCTGCAATACGATCTTAACGTTTATGTGTTGATCGAATGCTTGAAGTGAAGGAATTCATCATGAAAATCGTAATTCATGGTGTAATTGTGAGATTATCCGCAATAAAGGGGCTTGGACATTTCAGACCACTGTGCGTGTACTGTATCTTGCATCTTCACTCATGAGCACAGTGGTCAAGCTTCATGCAATGTCTTCTTGTTTCGTGTTTCTCACAACTTGTTAATGCTACATGTACCCTTTATTTACTAGAAGGTTTGATTATGTGTATCGGCCATTCTTACTGAATTATGGACTAAGAAAAACGAGGTCAGCGAGGTGTTCGAATTCTTAGTTTTCTTGAAATTGTCACGGAATCATTAGATCCACAGTTGTTGAAGTCAGAGGTTTCCATTTCGTATCTCACGGTGAATCTTCAGATCGTTCATCACATACCTGCTTCTATTTGAATTTACCGGACGCACCCATTAGAATTAGTTGACAACCGCCTGTGAATACACATTCAGCAATGAAGAGCTATCGGTTGATGTGTATGGTGCATAGATGGAGTGCGTTCTTTGCTTATGGTCCTTGGATCTATTTCTCATTGCTTCCAGCATCACGTTAATTGTTTCATTCACAATATGGTGTAGATACTCTGTAAATTTCCTTAGAAATTGTTAAATTGCCATGATCGGTATGTTTATGCCGTTTTGTAAACCTATGTGGCTGTCTTGACTTCCTTACAACATACACTCCCAAGTATATGGATATGTGTAGGAGATAAATAGAGTGATGCTTCACGTTGCCGTTTGATGTGGATCAGGTGCTACTTTATGGACTAAGCTCAGGAGGTGAAAGTATTGCAGTTCAGGTGAACGGTAAGCGCGTCTAACTTTTTCCTTGGACATCAGATCAATTAACGTTTCTTGACATCACGGAAGAAGGTGGATTTAGCATTCATTGTTTCTATGACCTGTCGTGAGTGACAAGAACTTGGAAATGAAAAGTTTAATCTGTTAGTGGTGCAGATTTTATGCCCTATTTCTGGTTTCCGGCCCCTGTGGGCAATATCGATGGGAAGATTGTGCCTTTAAAGGAAGGCTGCTTGGAAACCGTGAAAGAATATCTCAACCGCAAACTGCAGACCAGCCGTAAGAAAAGTGCTGATTCCAATGATCAATTTGTAAGACATTTTGACTTATGAGAAAAGTCATTATTGTGGTATCTTGGACGGAGTGTTTCTGCAGAAGTAATAAATCGATTTAGGGTCCTGGAGTACATTTAATCGGAAGCCGGTATTTTTGGATTAATGTATATCCTGCGTAGGTTACATGTTCCTTGCCTATTGGTTGTACTCTTGCAGGTTGCTGCAATTGAAATGGAGCACAGGACACCACTTATGTATTACCGTCGTGGAGGACCATTTTCGTTTCTGAAGGTTTGTTCCTTTCGCCTCTAAGGCTAAGTTTGTGCGCGTTAGAATCAGAAAGTGCTTTGTAAGTATCAAGCAATTTCGTATCCCTTATGAGTAAACCTTCATCTAAACTCATTATCGCATCTGGCTGTGTAATATAGGTGCAAGTCTGGAGGGATAAAGAAATAGGTTTAGTTGCAAAGGAGCTAACGGCCCTAGCTGAGGGAAACGAGATGCGGGGCGAAGGCCTCGTTTGGAAGGATCATACTTCTCATGAAGAAAAGATTAAAGTTAGCATCTATCTTTACAACTCGAGCGCCTTATATTTCAAAGTTATTCCATTCTTCAATGGAAGCTCTGGATTACTGATCGCCAGTTTTGTTCATGACAGCGTCTGATGTTAAACACCTCCTTTGCTATCCTTTTAGTGGATAACCTTTGGACTTTAAACAAGTTCTGCTGTATATATTTCCTTATTAAGCTGTATAGTGGTTTAACTTTAGATTTGAAACTTTGCGATTAACTCTTATATAATTCAGCACAAGTATGTCTAGTTTAGATTTCTGACGTCTTGTCCACATGATGGTTTCTTGCTTGGGCAGTTGGGCATGCGATTTTTTTGTGACACAGGTATAGCAGGAGGGTCGTGGGTGGAAATAAAGCAAGCTGTGACAATTCCTCATGACCAATATAAGACGAGGTGCTCCGTGGAGCTTGTTGCATGTTGGGAGAATCTCACTGGCTTAACCCCAGATGCGACACACCATATGGAGTTCATGGAATCGGCCTATGGGGTTTCATCTGTTCCTCATAACAGCGAGGCTTCTGGTACGCAAAACAGTAGAGAAATTCTTCTGGACATGTATGATCAAAGTGATACATCACTCCCTGATGAGGATGACCTCCCGGACTTCACACAGATTAAAAGTAAGACGAGCACATGGGAGCCACCGGCCCCTATTGCTTCAAGCAGCAACATTTCTTCTTCCTTGCCCTCGAATTCTAGGAAGGCTACTTGGGATCTAATCGCCCCATTACGGATAGTTGCCTTACATGTTCAGTGCTCTGGAGGTGGAAAAATGTTGCTTGAAACCAAAGGAAGCAATAATGTTTCTCCAGTTAAAAGTGGAAAAGGTAACAGTAGAGGCAGAGGCAGAGATAGAGGTAGAGGTAGAGAAACAGGGAAATCTGAATCACTGGGCAGCCTCAGTATGTTAGGGAGTGCCAGTAGCAGAATCGAACCAGGTTTTCCTGGGCTTGAGGAAGCCAGTATCGCTGATATTGAGGGACTGTCCAATTTAGTAGGTGGAGGCTCGGCAATTCCATCAAGAGATCCAGTGCTTGTGATATCGCATATCCTTCACTTTCAAGGGCATCAAGATGGGACAAAACAAGTTGTCTTCACACATAGCAAGGGTCCGCAAGAGGGAGCACTTCCAGGAGTTGAGTTACGCATGTTTGATTCTGAGATTGTCATGTTAAGAGCATGGCATAAGTACTGGTATTTGGAAGTCGATCCGGATATTGTCTGTGTGTATCAAATGAAAAAAAGCTTACGGTATTTAGCGGAACGTTTCAAGGTTCTAAAGTTGGGAACTTTTGATCTTGGTCGAAGGATGGGTCAAACAACTGAGGTATAGAGTTTCTTCATGTTTATGTGGTTAATAATGGGCTACAGTGCAAGGAAATTCTAGTCCGATTAGATTTATGTGGAGAGCTTGTTGGAATTTACCATATCGTGGACACTGAGTGTAACTTGTGTAATTTTTAGGTGAAATCAGTTGTGACTTACGGAAAACATTGGATAAAGAAGCAGGCTCGCATGTCATCTACGTCGAATCAGGAGGTCTTCAGGGCCTACATGGAAGGACGACTGGTTATTGACATGCTTCGAGTTGTATTAGTGTCTTTTAATCTCTCCACTTTCACTTTGGAAGAGTGCTCTCAGGTGATCTAGTTCTTCAACAAATCCCAATGTGCTCACCAATTTTTTTACTGTCTTCTGGTCTGCATTTTACAATTGAGGCGTGCAACCTATAATAATGCACTTTAAGGGTTCAAGATGTTTAGATGAACTTTTGTTGAAGTTTCTGTGCGTGAGTATGAAAACCTTGGTGAATACACATAAGATCTTTTACATGTTACCAATTATTTGTCATTTGAGCTGTTGGTGGCGTTATGTCTCTTCAAGTTCAACTTGAGTTCTGCTTGCGTTTGATTGTTCAGCTGCTTGACGGCCATCATCTAGAGCTCAGTAAGTAAGCAGCGTTGTGTTAGATATGAACAGGTATTTCTAGGCGCCCCGAAAGAGGCACTCTCTACGGCTGCAGTATCAGAGCTTTGGCAAGGCAAGTATGGAGGCCTAAGACGACTTCTATTATACTCACTTCATGAAGCTGAGGTGGGTATTTATCTTTTTAATTGAAACCCATATTTGAGAAAAGGGAGCATTTTTTCTCTGGATCATATAATCTACAAGTGAGAACATTCATGAGGGTTCTTAAAGACCTCAATGATGACGGCTTTCCTTTCAGGTGTATTTTATAGTGTTCGCACATGGTACTTTGTGGATTTGTGAATGACTGCGAGTATTGGCTCATGCATGGCATAAGATGCCCAACAGGTTGTTCTTAAACTTATGGAGAGGTTGCAAACGATTCCAGAGACAGTGGAGATGGCAAGAGTTACTGGGTTGACTCTCTCAGATGTCCTCTACAAAGCTCAAATGGTGCGAATCCAAGTAAGTGAATCATGACCTCGTACTCTTGGTACCTTCCACTCTGTTCTTTCCTTCCACTCTGTTCTCTGTTCTGTTCTTTCGAGAATGATGTAGATAACTTATTGTTGGTCTGATTTTATACGTTGATGCACAGAGCTTGCTCTTACGAAGTGCACGCAAAGAAGGTTGGCTCTTAGGAGGAACAACTTTAAATGGTGAGAACTGTATTTTAGGAATTTTTCAGTATTGTATTAAATTAATGGCTACTATAAAACGCATCAACTTATAAGCAGTAATTCTTATATGCAACGAAAGCAAGTATTCCTCGCACATACTTTCATCTTGAGTATACCATTGTGTGAAAAGTATTTACAAACTCGATATAAGTTGAGTTATTTAATTGTCAACTTCATGGAAACCTTTTTGTCATAACAACTCGAGTTCCAATGCATCATGTTCTATCATGGTGACGTTAACGCCAAGTCGTTTGCCATCAACCTGATATGTTCACTGTGTCCTCTGAAAAGTCTGTCTGGTGGCTTCTATGATAAAGGGCAATTGTCGGAGAGTCCTTTTTTGTTACATCCAAAAGATAATCACACTGCTGCATTTTATCAGGTATTTGATCCGAGTCAGAAGATCTCGTCTGTCAATGAGAATGTTTTCGCTACCAGCGATGATTGGATAAAATTCATAGTTTGCTATTAAAGTCACATATAGTTATTGTACTAGAGCATTGGCATATTTGCCTTACTGATTTATGAGGTATTGAAGAAACTTTATTATTTGGTGACTCGAGGTGCTCTGTGTGCAGGATCCTGTTGCAATCTTAGATTTTGCTTCGCTTTACCCATCATTGTTTATGGCTTATAACCTGTAAGCTTAGTACAATCCTTCCTTTCATAATTTTGGGTTCTGATTTTTGGGCATTACTTCCAACTTGAGTTTCCTTCAGTTTTGTTATTAGTTGTTGCAATGTGGTTCAGTTATGTCTAGGAATTTTCGAATACAGGTCCTTAGTTGTCATTTTGTTGAGCAGGTGTTACACAACGTTGGTACATCCTGAAGACGCTAAATCAATTCCTTCTCATCAGCTCATAACCAGGTAAGCTCTAGAGTTTTGCTCGTTTGTTGGAATCGTTATGAACCAGTAAACCTTGTTCACTAAAGCCTTTCAAGTTTTACATTGTTTTGAGTTGCCGTACTTCTGGTTCTTTGGAAAAGTTCCCCGAATTATTAGACCAAAATCCTCTACCTAATTGCAGAATTGTCTTACAGTTAGTAAATGTTAATCTGCACCAGTTATCAATCCCTACATATATTGTGTTCACGGTTTTCAATTGTCTGATGAATGACCTTGTATATCTGAGCCTTGGGATGTTCGATTCATTGTTTTCAGTTTAACCGGTGCTCAATTTGTGGTGTCATCTGTTCGACGAGGTGTTTTACCCCGGATTTGTGGTATAAGCTTTAGCCCATTGAAGCATTGATCTTGAATGGAAGTCTGTTTTCACAATGTTTTTTGTGCTGTTTTTTGCATCGAATTTCCAAATTCGCATTTTCAAATAAGTTTCCTGCTTTCAGGAGGTTGCTGTTCTCCACACCTTGATGTCATGTGTAACAATTATTTTTTTTTCCCCGAATGAACATGTTCTTTTGAACCTTCACGACTTAAGTTCTCTCGCAGGTGCTTTGATTACAGCACGCAAGCAAGCTAGAGATCGTATGACTCAAGAGCATATTAGTTCTGAAGAGTATGCTGTATTGGATGGGAGACAAAAGGCATTGAAGGTGCTGTTTTAACATATATTTTTGGTGTTAGAGCAAACTGTAAGTGCAAACTTTAATAATGATCTATTTTCATTAGTCTTAACTATTAGCACACATTCAACGTACAGTAACTGAGATCAGTGATATTATGTGTAATTGCAGCTCTGCTCAAATGCTTTATATGGGTTCACAGGTGCGAGTGCATCACCTCAACAGGCAGTTCCTTTGGCGGATACTTGTCTGAGGTAACTTGCTTATCAGCTGATATTGTCTACGCACCATCAAAGATTGTTCACGATTTATATCGACTTATCATGGAGACATTGTTATAGCGAAATCGAGAAACGTGAGCTTTAACCCACTTCCTAAAGATCTTTTATAGTAGCTGTAGTATGCTTACTAGGGGTTCGCTTTACTTAATAACACATTCAAAGAACTGTCTTGGAATAGAATCGTGTTCTTCACATGGTGGTTTTGATTTATGCAGCATGGGGGCAGCCTCCTGTAAGCAAGCTGTGCAGCTTGTTGGGAGTATTTTTGAGAAGGTGGAGGTTATCTATGCGCAGACCGACAGCGTGTTTGCTCACTTCAAAGACGTCAGCATAGAAGAAGCTATCAAACTCGGCACACAAGCTGCTGAGATAGTCTCTCAAGCCTTTCCCTCTCCCATTGTTCTAAAATTCGAAAGGGTGAGGATTTCAGAATTCTCACAACGATAGCCTTGTGATAATGATGATGTTCAATTATGATAAACATGTAAATGAAAATCTTCAACATATCTTATGGAGCAGGTGATGAAAATTCTATTCATTTGGAGTGGCCATGCATTTAATGACAAGTAGCTTACGTCTGATCCAATATTCTTTTGCAGGTTCTGTGTCCTTTTCTCCTCCTCCAGGTCATTTTTCTGCCCTGCAATGTCCTTACCCGCATTTCATCTGCTTTTAATTTTCAATTCGTTTTTTCTTTTACTTTTGTTATGAAGAGTTAATTAAAACAAGCTCTTACTGCTTTTTCTGATACTTTGGTTTTGATTCTTGAGCAGGTGAACAGGTACGCCGGCAGGCAGTACACTTGCAGCCAAGGAAACGAAGGCCAGGGTACATTATTTGTGAAAGGCATTGAATCCGAAAGACGTGATGTGCCCAGATTTGTCCGAAAAATCTGCAAACAAGCGTTGATTGACGTTCTTGTGGAAAATGATGTACCACTCGCTTATGTAAACTGCAAGAACTCCATACGACGGATGGTAGCAGGCAAGTCGAGCTTGTATGATTTTATAATGACTGGGGTAAGATTTAACATTGCTCATTAGCAGTGGAGTTTTTCATTGGTGTTGAGAACATTCTGAATTTTGCTGAGGGAAATTTACCTTTATTTCACTGTTTATTGCAGGATAATTTGTGAAGTAATATGAGTCGTAGCCTCTGAAGAGGATGCAGCCTTGTAGAGGTTGTATCCTCTGAAGATGAAGGTTAGTTGTATAATGTCTATCTTAAAACGAATCATGTTAATGAAGAACGAAGTTACAATAAACTAGAAGCCAACAGCTCTTCTAGCTTTCAACAAGTCTCACATCGTGTCGATGTCGTTCAAATGGCTAACAACGTGATGAAATGAGTTGATGTAGGGTCTCTGGAGGGTGGATGATCACGATATTACAAAACTGGTCGAAAAGACGAAGAGTTCCCACAAGCATGTCGGGGCATCCACTGCAGAAGAAGGGCGAGGCCCTCATGTGGCTCTCTCTGTGAGGTTGAAACGCAAGAATCCCGATCGTCAGTTTCATATTGGGGAGAGGATACCTTATGTGCTAATGGCTAACTCAAGCAAACTTCAGGTAAATCAGATGATTTTTATTTTTTTATTTCTTTTTCTTTTTCTTTTTTCTTTTTTGGTGTTGAGTATTTTAGCATTCACTATGTATCATTTCAGTAAATTATCGAAATTAAAGAGCCGTAAGGACTAACTAACGGCAATCTCTTACACAAGCCTCAGATATGGAGCTAGTGTAATGATTATGATGCAGATTGCATGACGTTCTGGTAATTTCATTGAATTGAAGATGAAATTTGCTGCTTCATCTTGAGGTTTCTCACTCTAGCTGGCAGGATGACATGGCGGAAGATCCAATTGAGGCTCTCATCGGAGGCAGTCTGGTGAATACACACGTGTATCTTGAAAACAAGCTCCGCAAGCCTCTAGAATCTGTATGACCGTTCTAACCCATAGTTGCCCTTCGTTCTTATGCCCTCTTGAATCACTCTGGATGTTATGAATACCGCGTGTAATTATTGCGATTACACTCAACAGCACAAGTTTGTGATTGCGTATATGCTTGTTAGATGCAGTGTAGATTGGAGTCTTCACCGTTGGCAAGCCTAGCAACTTTAGTATCTCAGTTTCTATGAGGAAACTGCTGATAATTCTCAGATTCAATTGCTTTTGCAGAAACATTCTAGCTTTTTAGATGACCTCAACGTGACGTGATGCTGTGACTGTTGTGATGAAATAGATATTGGAGTTTGTAGTGGACTCTGCAGCACTGAGGGAATTGTTCACTGGTAGTCATACTGTTCCTCCTCCATCTGCATCAGCAGGTGCCCCTAACCGGACACAGGGCTTAGTTAGTAGCTTCTATCGACCCAAGTCTCCCTGTGTCATTTGCAGGTATGATGATCATCTTCAATTTTTTTGAAATTCATATCCAAAACAATTCACCTCAAACTTCTTCAAATTTGTTATATCACATTGTACCAATCCTTTGCGTGTATTTTAAGTTTATTTTTTAAAATAAATAAACGTTTATTGGGTTCTTCTAAAATCTGAACCCTCAAAGTAAAGCAGAAAGTGTGACTATTTTTGACACTGAATTTTTCTGTACAGGAAACCGCTGGAAACCGCGCAAGGGGCTCTGTGTAAAGAGTGTACTTTGGCAGGTTATGCACAAAATGCAACTACTGCTATATTCCTTGAGACTGCTGAGCAGGAGGTTAAGGTAAATGGAGCTCATGTGGAGTGTATGAGGTGCCATTCGGGAGGGCATTTTCAGTCTGTCCTTTGTACGAACTCTGACTGCCCAGTCTTCTACATGCGTTATGAATGCCCTCGAATCCTTTCACACATTGAGTCCACTCTTATCAAGCTGGATCATCAGTTCAAGCTTGAGTAGAGAAACTTGATTGGGGTTTTAGCTCGCTATACTCTTTCCCGACGCTTGGGACATAATTTGGTGATTATTTGGAAATCTTTGTTGACTGATGTAGATGTTTCACGATATCAATAGGTGCATCTTATGTGTAAAATGTACTTTTTGTTCAACTTCAACCCGCACTAACTTTTATCCTGGTCATTCGAGTCTTACCAGCTCTGTTCGTGTTTAGGTCTTACGAATCTCTTGCGAATGATGGTCTTTGTTTATGCCTCTCCACCCTTCTGTATGTATTGCTGCGTGTTGATTTAATGTCATGTTAGTTCCATTATTAATCTTGGTGGAAGGTTGTGACACGTGTGTGCGTGTATGAGCGTGCGCACCTTGCTTTTCATTGGTTAAGTGCGGTATTGCTAAACTGGAGCATGCTAAACCCTGAACCCAAAACCTTGGTGCATGTAAAAATATGATGCACCTTGATGCTGTGACGTCTTAAGGTCTGTTCACATCTGAATATGTTGCAGTGGATGGGCTACAGGTCGAAGTAATGGTAAGTTGAGACTCGTTGAGAACAAGGGATTTTTTGGATTACTATTTAAGTAAAATTATGGGGGCAAGAAATTAAGTTCAAAAATTTTACAGCAAATTATGAATGCACATTTTTTTTGAAATTTAGGGTTGTATGTGTGAAGTTATCTTTTGGAGGTGCCATTCATATAATATAGGCGAAAGGATTTTATGCAAGACAAATAATGGAGAGATATACAGAATCACAAACAAGTTTTTATCAGGAAAATTTTTATTTTTATGAAAAAGTCTCTACTTCCCCTATCAATCTTGTTTTTGTACATGTCACACTCTCCAACAAACAAAGAAAAGAATAAAACCGCCGTCATCAATCCATTTCTCTAAATCTAGTTAGAAATGAAAATGACAGGAGAGAACTTAAATTCTAGATGGAAATTGCTTTCAGATGGAAACATGTATTGAATTACCACCGTAATTATAGTGGATTCTTAACAGTGATGTAGGGATTCCCTATTTTCATCGAACATTCATCCAACAATTCAGTTGAACAGATGTTCAATAGGGCATCGTTTTTAAACCCCTAACGAGTGCACGATGCCTCAGGTGTATATTAGGGCTACGCTGTTTGCTCTAAACTAGTCTCCACGCTGAGTGCCGGCAACTCACTCCTTTTGCCCACCCTCAATACTTTTTGTATCTTTGTGGTGACTTAGTTTAAGCTTGTTAAGGCTTGTTGGTGATGTGCGGTAGTCGCTGAGGATTTGCATGTTGTGGAGAAAGAAAACTGTTTTAGAGTGTTCAGTTCGTTTATGGGAAGTATGTTGGTCCCTTCTGAACGAAGCTCTGTTTTTAAGAGGATGAGGGCTTGGAAGGTTTAGTCATATTTAGTGGCTGCCGCACGTCGTTCTTGGTCTTGCTTCATGTGAGGTTCTGTGAAACTGAGACTGAAGTGCTCCGAGCAGTTGGAGTGAGTGAACGAGCAAGGTTGTGTGTGGAGAGGAGGTCTTCTATCTCTCCATGATGCCAATTAGCCAAATCTGAGCTGCATTTTATCCTCCGGAAGCAATCATGTGAACCGGATCGGTGGTATCTCCATCTCTTCTGGTAGCGCCGCTCCTGTGAAGTTGCCAAGAGTTGCTTGAGATGCTGCTGCTTTCGTTTGCAGTGGATGCTAAGCGGTCTGATAAAGTAGTAGTCAGCGGTGTTGAAAGAAAAGCTACCGAGAAGTATAGGTCTGAGAGTTGCCGTGACACCGCTCCGTCATACAAAACCCTACTGTTCATTCACTCCACCTCGCTTTGACCAGAAGGAAATAGTGGAATAGCTATCGATCTTGAGCTTCTTTTGTTCAGTAACTTAGGTTGTCTTTGACTCTTGTTAACGATGGCAAGGATTGGAAAGAGGAAGGGCAGTAGAAGTTGCCGCTGATTTTCTCAGCCTGGTGATTTTGGAGACTGACGAACTCAACACTTGATATGAGCCGAGACTGTTTGCAGTACTTCGTGGTCACATACGCTCAGACTCGATGCTTCCTATTCATGCTGAGCGTAGGCTTACTTGAAGTCTGATAGGGTTTCAACTAGAATCAACATGATTGTAACTCATTGCTATTTTAAAGGCACCCCAATCTGTAAGAGAGTGGAAGAGGAATTTGTCAAATTTAAATCACATTATGGACTAGTATTGACAAAAACCAAATATTGGCAATGTTTATTTACTTTAACGGTTGTGACATCTAACCGCGGTAATAAAAGAACGATGAGGGAGGAGACAATAATATCATGGAATTACACTCTGAAATAGCAAATTGTAACTTAAGTGGCAGACATTTGCAGCATGAAAATACTCGCATAGTGGCTCAACATTTGAACTATCTTTAGCCTTAGTTAGTGTCGGGTAATTCTGAATCAAGCTTTTTATTCGGGATACAATGGTATATACAAATTCGTTTATGTTAGCCCTCTCGAACAGGTCTTTTGATATTTTAAGAATAAATGAACTAATGAGCATCACAATGGAGACTATGGTAGAAACTCGGTGTAAAAGAGTAGAAATGAAACATCTATATGTCAGAGGTTATCACAAGTCATCTGATTGCCATTGTATTAACTGAAGATAAAGGAGTATATCAGTTTTTTTTGAACGAAGAGTGGGCACTTATTATGTTTTGCAATATAATGTGCTCTTTCTTCTGTTCTTTCAATTTTTTTGCCTCTTTCAATTCTTACAAAATGAAGCATATTATCCGACTTCTATGGACATGTAATGATATGCATGAATTTGTCACAGTTGTATGCTATATCGCTGAAATTGACGGCAAGCTTATCAAAATCATTGAAAGTAAAAGAACTTAGAGGAGAAGACTGTACCAATCGCGATGACCAGACATGCCACAGCCAACATATGACAAACTCATTGCTACCAGCTGATGCTGAGCAGAGAGGTAACCAAAAAAGGCCAAACAAACCGCCCATAGCATGCGACCAGGTTAGCATGGCACAACACAACCAAAGTAATCGAATTGGGAGGAACATGTCTAAACGATCGCTGGAGAATTAGCCAGAGAAAAACTGCAACACCATCCACAAATGGGACGTATCCGCACATGTACTAAATTCTCTTCTCGATAGATCAGCTTACTGCTCCATATTCACTCATTTGGCGAACCGCTATGAATTCAAAGTTCATCATGATCCTTCAAAAAGCCCAACAAAAAAAAAAACACGAGTAAGATATTCACGTTCATAGGTCAATAACATTTCACTCAAATATTTCAACTGCGATGAAATTGCATTCTGCTAACAGGCTCCAGGGATATTCAACAATGGAGAAACAAAACACATCACAAATTGATCCTAGGCTTGAGATTCAAAATCATCCTTGTGTCAACACAGACGATAAAGAAGAAAGTTTGAAATCACAAAGCCAGAGTCCTCACATCATCATCGTCATCCTCGTCATAATCGTCCTTTTCTTCATTCGGATCATTGTCGTCGATCTGAAAGAAAATTGTGAAAGTAACATCAATTGATTCAGATAACCCATTCATGTAAAACTCCTATATATAACGAAAATAGTTCAGAAGCTAAAGCTACGCCCCTGGAAAGGCGAGAGACTTGACGGATGTCGCAATCACATAGACGACTCGGCATGAGATGCAATCTCCCCCGCTAATCTACACGCGCTTCTAACTTCTCTTTCGGTATGAAGCACCTCTATCAAAATTGCATTCTAAAAAGACTCCCATGTCTCATATATTAGCGCGATTGACTTAAGCTCATTCTCAAAAAAAGAAAACATTTTACGTTCAGTTGTCGACTTGTACGTTTTTCTGTGTTAAACCCCAGCTCCGTCACACGAAAACTAAGTTCAATATATCCTACTTCCAAGACACACTAAGAGACAGACCTAAGAGAAAGACCTCATCAGGAGTCTTGCACAAACAATTCTGGACCGACTTAGCATGCGACACACTTAAACTGGCATTTGTGAGATGAAAGACAATAACGGGTGGAGAGAAGGACACAAGATATCCTGTGAGCAAAATGGCGAACCTTCTGTTCTTCGCGGTTCTTGTTCTCGAGCTCGTCAAACATTTCCTTCTCACCCTTTTCATATTATAAATAATAACGGATCAGAGGAAGGACCATAACTCAAGTTTCGAAATGCACAGTGAACTAAGAAAGATCTGATGGTTATAAATGGAGTCACCGAGACAAGAAAATGATTACTATGAATAAAGAATATATATATATATATATATATACATAGAACTTACTTCCTTGATATTTCCCCAAGTCTCCTCAGCAAACTTTTTGGCATACTCTGGATCGTCTGTTACTAGAATGTTGTCAAAAACCGACCCTGCCTTTACCTATTAGGAACATCTCCAAGGTCAGCAACAAAGCTCCACAATTTCGGCAGGTTACACAACTGTTTACAATGTATTGAAGCTTCGAAGAATCTGTACAACTTCACGCAAACAAAACATCACATACCTGCCATAGCTCCATACCGAAATACTTTAATGGAGGCAAAACATACAGATCAGGATCCTCTTCGAATTCTGCTTCATAGTATCACCAGTTAATACTCAGAATCGTTCAAGTTGACAAATGCCACTTAAGGTGTTATGGGTAAACGAACAAGTAAATTTGCAGTGGTTTACCTGGGTTACTAATAAGTGGAGCCTTCCATTTGCCGTTGTAATTAGGGTTCTTAATTTCCTGCAGAAACGTGACCGATACTTTTCAGTTATTTTCAAATGATACATAACAGCAACCTGCTCAGTAAAACGTCTATGCTCATTGACAATAAACACTATGTAGTATTCAAAGCAGTAACAAAAGCAGTTCTCCTTTTAACATATCTCGACAAGGCATCTCTGATATATCCATGCCACTGCAATAAGACACCGATATCTCCTTCCAAGAGCAGCTGCCTTAGAGTAGCGTGACAACATATGTTCTCCTTTCATGCCACATTTCCAAAACTTGCACTCCACATAAAATATCTATCATGATATACAAAGACATGGAAGAAGCGGTGATCTCACCTTTGGCGTCCACGGCCCTTTGAATTCTGGGTTTGGAATTAATGGAGCTTCCCATTCTCCGTCACTTTCATCATCCCACTCTTCTGGCTGCAATAAACAGTTAACATCAGAGCTATTTGTATGTTACGGAAATGGATATACACACTCTTCAGAAACCAGCTCGATATCCAAGCCAAAATATCAAGATCAAGGGTTTAAATTTTAATGAACATGTTAAAGGCTGATAGGCATGTGCAAGAACTTTTTCTTGTAAAAAAACTGTAACGACAACGCAATACTATGAAAATGGCTTCGTTTTGATTCATCAGCAGCAGGCTAATTGCATTCATTCTTTTCCCTTAATGATTAATTACATACTTTCAACACCCTCCCCTGATCATCGATGAAGTGATATCACCTTTAACGACAAATGATTGAGCGCAAAAATCACACACCTTCTTAGCATCAAGATCTGGGATTTCCTTTGGTATTGAGTCATACCCCTGCATCAAAAAGGAGTAAATTCACAACGACAAGCTGAGCCTAAATAAAAAGCATAATTGTATCACAAACACAAACCCAATTGTAGCACGTCGAGGTGAGAAAATAAGCAGTACACGAGCACAACCATGAAAATGATAGCTGTACGGAAACAGAATCAGACCTCGGGTTTATGGTCCTCGGGGTCTGGAATGAATTCGTTGTCATCCCAGTCTTCCGGCTGAGATCACATATCATACAATCGGCATGTCGAATGAGCACACAGAAATGAAGCACGGCCTTCTAAAAGGCGAGATCCAGATATAGTGCTGCTTGGAAAGGTACCACAACCAAAAATATTTTGAAATAAATTAATTGTGAACAAAACATGTCCGAATCTTAAAATGTTTTAAAAGATATGATTAAATACCTTCTTAGCACTGAGGTCTTTAATCTTTCGGGGTGGCAACAAGTCCCAATCTTTGTACAAGCTACCAGATTCCTTCTCTTTGTTATCAACCAAAATACTGTAAGTAGCGTCCGGTCGGATGATAAATGTATACACGTGGGAGAGCTTGTCAGTCTCGCACTCCACTGTCTTTTTCATTTGATGGTTTTTACTCTTGTACAAGATGATGGCATGGATTTTTTTGGTTTGAGAACCACAAATATCAGGTCCAAACATGATACTGCACATATTCAATTCCACTTTTAGAGCACATCATTTTCTCATAATGCTTAGGTTACTTTTCTAGCACAAGACTTGACAAGAAGACAAATTTAGAAGGTAATCCCGGATGTTAAGAAAACATTACTGCCTTGTAAGAATAGTACCAGTTTGAATGATGCAATAAACTGTGGACTGCAGAACACTACAGGACTAAAGCGTTTCCCGATTGTCAATGTGAGGGTTGACTATGGTGCCACCAGGTTCTGAATCGCGACATGCGTATCCTGTCAAGCTTGAAGTTCACAAGGAGGAAATTGAAGAATAAAGTTAGACCAATTGAACGTAGGGACGTACCTGTAAGGAGTGTCACCACCAAAAGTCTTTTGGTCCACCTGACCACTCATTAACTTCACGTAGCCACCCCCACATTCGATGTTTTGTTCGTGTTTGACTTGGTATTGGAGTACTAGCGTCTTGCCCTTGTTGTTGAACTCAGGAATTTGTGCAGAGATAGCATAATATCGCGAGTCAGTTGATGTTTGAATTCCTGCGAAAAGTCAGCCAGCAAATGCGACTGAGATAGTATTACTTGCCCGTAAGGCATGGGTGGAGTATTCCAGGCATATATATATATATATATATATAAACATAACTACTAAAATCGATCCTTATAAATAAACAAACACCTTTGGAATCACGGCATACTAAGCTTTGGTTGTTTTCAGACTGGGTTACAAACGGTTCGATGAGCACAAACCTTTGTCATTTTCGTCTCCATACCACTTGCCAGGAGTGTGCACAAAGTTTCCATTAAGGCCTTGACTTTTCTTCCAGTTTGATTGAATCCAGCGACTCTCCCAACCGTCTACGCAATCAGATAACATCAAAAGAAGATAGTTAAGCTAATCTCAATAAGGTGAAAGCGAACCAACACTCTGCCCGCCTAAATAATGCCGGAAAACAAATAAACGAAGCCCATTCCATTAGAACTCGGAAAAATAGTACACTGATACTATTATACCACTCGTTTAGATGAGGGTAAAGAAAGCCAAGCTGGTTTATAACCAGGGTCAGTTCTATGTTCAAACGAAAAGTCATTTCAGCTTAGCATGAACTGCAAGGAGAAAGAGTAATGCACACGATAGCATGTAGCCGTAAGAATGTAAATAAACATGCTGCGCACGTAAGGGACAGACATATACTCTAGCTGCTGATCACGAGTCAGCTTTAGAAGTAGTTGACGTGCTCGTATGAAGCTATTGCAGCGCAAAAATAGGCTTCTACTACAGATCATCATCGGAGGATGATGACGGAGTAGCGACAGGGGAAAAAGCATCGCAGATTGTCAAAAAAACCAACTCTAAATAACAACTGATAACAAATCAATGCCCAGGCCACGCACAATACTCTGTACAATAAGCTCATCAAAGCTGTAATTACCATATGAATAATCTCAATCGTCAGCTGAAACTGAATAGACTTCAAAGACGCCTTCGTCGACAATTTTTACAACACTTTTCACTGCACTGCCTATCCCTAGAGTGAGCAAAAACACGGTCAGGCCACCGAAGTGACCAGCATAGTGTGCACGAAACTTCTGTTCTCCACAACATCAAAACCACGACGCACTCAAACACCGGGATCCAAGAAAATGACCATACGGCCGCATAAGTGACTCAAGCTGAAAACCCCTAAACAAGAACAAACAACTTGAAATGTCACACAATATAATGCAAGTACGATCGGAAGAAACTTGCCACTGCAAACCGAAAATAAACCAACAAACTGCACGCCGATAGTATGTGACAAAATGAGCACGAGAGAAGAAGGCAAAGTACAGAATCGCACCATCGAAACGCTCTTGGAAGATGACCTCGCATGCAGCAAGACAAACGACCGACAAGACCAAGAGCAACGCAGGAAAGAGGGCTGGAGGAGCGGCCATGGCTGGGGACAAAAATAACAAACTACGACGAGGAAGAAAATGGTACTAAATACCATTGAGCGCTGCAGGTAAAGATACACTGGTATTCAAACTGCGACGGGTTATACTTACCATCATCGCCAAGCTCTGACGACGCTGGAACCGGATCTTCCGAACCTGGACACAGGCTTCGGACCGAACCTGCTACAGCACGCTGTCAATACATTTTCCCATTTGCTTTTTGCATGACATCGTCTATCGCAGTTGCTCCGACGGAGATACTTTGTGTGCTAAAAAACTTCTCACCATGACCTGCCACATTCTCCTCTTCAGTTGTTCGAGAATTATCAACCAGATTTTTTAGAAAATTTTCTCGATAGATGGATTTAAATTTGTATGCACAAATAAGAGATAAAAGGATTGTGACCTGAGATATAAATCAAGGGATGTAAAGAAGTTATTTGATTGATTAATCGATGTATCTAAATAAAGATAAATGTCTAATATAGTGTCTTGAAATCCTACCGAGTCGATCCGTTCTTAGAGATTGGAAAGGAATTGAAGAAGTAATTAGTTAATTACTCACAAGTTTTAATAAGTTGTTACATATCTGTGCAAAATTGATTAAATAAATAAATCTCTTCCATAAATATTATTTTTATTATTCCTATTTCTATTGCGTATGATGATTTTCAACAACTTAAAAAATTAAGGAGTCCTTTTGTGAAATAACTAGCATCCTGTTTGGTACTATTTTATCTTCAACAACACAGTTTTTTGCAAATATGTGTATGTATGTATATGACAAACATGATTGTAATGAACAAATATATGTGTTTTAAAATCGAACAAGTAAGCATTTGATTTTTTTATGATATACTGAATCATTTTTCAGTTTTACTTGCAACAAAATAAATTTGTCACATTGTGATACCATTTATATCTCCCTACACGCAAACTGGGATGCACTTACAGGCAGTTAGAACCTTTATTTCATAGTTAAAACTCGTTTTTTTAAAGTAGATTGAATGATAAAGTAGTATAACAAGTGTAGTAGAATATATTTGTAATAAAAAAGGTTACATTTTTACGTTCGTAACACACGATAGATTTAAATGTTCCAACTCACTCAACGCCAAAAACACTATTAAAATACGAGACTTGGTTGGTGGAGGAAATCATGTATTGTAGTGCACAACTTGTAAGATTATTTATTCCTTCTTATTATTATTTTATTTGGGTTACTGTTTTCTGAATCTACAGATTGCTTCAACATTACTGGTAGGTTATGACATCAGCCAAATTATAAAGCCAGTGGACCTGGTTCTACGGGATGAATCTCAAGACCCTACTTGTGCAGTTTTATACGGATGAAGAAAATGAGATGAAAGTAGAGACATCAACGTTTCATGCATCCATACATTTTCGATTCGAGTTTAAACCCTAGATGGCTAGAATTGAGAAGCAATTTCATTTGTGCTCCGACGTTCGCAAGCTCGTGTGTTGTTATCGTGTGATTTGAGTGCCTGTCGACTGCATCTCGCGGGGTGTGCAGACATGGCGAAGTTGGAGCCAGTCGGGGGGAAGAAGCTGATTAAAGAGTGGCCGACTTGGATTTTGAAGAAAGCGAAGACGGTGACGCACTACGGATTCATCCCTCTCATTATCTTCATTGGCATGAACACGGACCCGAAACCCCAGCTTTCGCAGCTCTTAAGCCCTGTATGAGGATTGGCGATGCTGTCTTTGGAGGCGATGGAGTGAATTCGCCTGAATATCTGGAAGCCGTTGTCCTTTCGTTTTCAGCAGTCCGGGGGAGCCAGGTCGATGGACGTGTTCCAAGTTCGTGAATCAACGGAACAAAAGAAATTGTGGTTGGAATTCAAAAACCTAGTTTTGATTTTGAAGGATATTGTGCAATTCTAATTATATGACTATTTCTTAAGTGTTTTGCGAAGTTGAGAGGGTTCTTTGGATTCCTTTTTGAATTTTTACCTTCTAATACATGTAAAAATTCACGAAAATTGTGGCAATTTTTATGTGAGTCCTATGGTTGAGATATTTACATCGTTGTTGTGTTTTGAATTAGCTTTTCAAGTCTTTCTTCACGTGGCAATCATGTATTCCCGCGTTTCGATGGAGAGCCTGTATGAAGTTACAGTTGTTTCGTTACAATGATCTACTCATTTTGTTCTGATTGCTTCGTCATTTTCATAAGCGTTGTATGTTCATTTGGCTTGTTACTGGCGTTATTGTCACGAATGACTATGAATTCCTTGTTTCTTGTTCTGTTAAGTGAAAGTGGATTAATCAGGCTTGCCTTTGAATACGAGGATCATCAGCTGTACTCAGATAGCATTTTCTGAGGCTTACATCTGACTAAGATTTCTAGGTGGTTTATCAATTCTTGTGCTTCATGAATGTCACCTTCTATTCTTCATTTGCGGTGCTTTTAAAGTGATCTATTTTTTTTAAGCATCAGTTGGAGATCTCTGTCCTCGCAAAGTCCTTTAACATAGTCTGCAGGACTGCTAAGCGGACTCGGTTTTTTCGCGTCAAACTCTACATATTATTTTGCGGGGAAATCCATTTTTGACGCATGTGTTGATGTTTTTGAAGCAATTTCCTGGCTTCAACTTGTAATACAAGCCAATTTCGCAAATGTCAATATGACATTCATATTTGCCATAATTACAATAGTTCTTACAGGTTCGACGTTTCAAATAATGGAAAATTATATAGCCTTCCCTGATTAGGCATATTAAAAATGCATTTTTAAAGATCTTGATAGGTAGAAAGTCAAACTTGTGCTAGTGTGGCTACTTTCGAAGAAGGAAATGAAGCTTTACCAATCATTCAATTTAATACAGCCATCCTGTAGATGATGTGAAGCGTAGGTGCTGGTCCTTAGCGGTCCTTGAGGATCTGGTGCTGGACGGTCTTGCATACTAGATTTAAGTACTGTGCGAGGACAGATATTTGGTGCCAATAATGTTATGATTCACGAACTAATAAAGTCATGGCCAACTTTAACATCTGCACTTCCTCAAGGGTGAAATGACAAACAAATCACGACGCGGAAGTCTTCTGAACCCTTACCATTTTTTAATTTCTAAATAGTAAATTAATTATGTTTAAAAGATTTGCTTGTCATTGAATGTTTGGATTTGGCCGGATTTGCACTTTTAACATGTGGAAATTTCGGCAGCCCAGCATGCTTTGGTGTGGGCAAACTACTCGGAGACAAGAAACTGCCACAAGATGGTAGTAAAGGCAACGGTAGTGGTGTTCTATTCTCCACAATCCTGTGAAATTTTCCAGATCGTCGTCTAGATTCTAGCTCAGGGGTTGAACACGTAAATAATTTCTGTCAGAAGCAAGTCAGCTCGATCCTTTACTCGTGTTGAGCAAACAATGAAATTTCTTTTGTTCTGTAATTGATTATTTACCGTTTGCCCGTTACATGTCCTCCAAAGCGACAGTCCATTTGTTCGATGTTTACAACCTATCCTCTCTGCCAGTTTCAGGAATGGTTGTCATCAGGAATGGTTACACACATACATTTCAGGAATGGAATGTATTTGTGTAACCTTTCTTGTATGTTTACTGATGCTTATATTGAATTCACCTTTAGTTCACGATAGTTTACCAGTTTTTATTTTTTTATTTTTATTGTTTTTGTGCATTTGAATATTACTCTTCAATACTGGATGTGAAATACACACACACATATCTATATAGAAAATAATATTTCTTGCCTAGTAAACCTTATTGAATTTATTTTGAATGACTGGATCATGTGTATGTGTATGCATATATATAAAGAATTATAAGGATAAATAATGTAATTTTTAAGAATAGTAATTAAAATTTTAAATTCAAATAATTATTTTCTATTATTTTAAAAAATAAAAATCGATCTTTTAGATGTTTGAAAGTGAGTCCATAAAATATATATATATATATATATATATATATAAGTAGCTGAAGTCAAAAAAGTATAAAAGTCATTGACAAATTAAATATATATTTTTTAATTAAAAATTTTAATGAAGATATATTTGTGATTTTGATAGAAATTTGAAAGTTTATCAAAAACAAAAAGAGAATTTTCTCAACCAATTCAACTGTTATGATTAACCAAAGACAAATGCTATGTAAAGAAGGCATTTTGGATTACTTATACCAAAATTAAATAAGAGAATATTTATGTTGATCTTTTTAAATATACCTATATAAAATTTTGTAAAATATGAACAAAAAAATTAAATCCTATTCTGCATCATTTTCTTCTCTACAAGTTTTTTACTTCAAAACCAAAACAAACTATAAATATTTTTTCAACATCAATAATATCAAAGTGGTTCAAGATCAACAAATGAATATAAAATGCTCTAGTAAAACATACAACTAAGATGATTATTTTTCTCATGCAAATATTATATTATTTTCTAAGTTTAATTATTCTACAAAGATTATGTTGTGACTTTCTTATCATACAAAGTTACTAAATAGAAAATAATAATAGTTAAAAATAATGACTTAGAACTAGTATGTCATTAAAAAAACATATATATATATATATATATATGAGAAAATATTAAATAGACCCAATCTTTTACTAAATCAACCCAACTTTGATGAAGAATATGGTAATCATGATGAATGTGGTTGGTTTTCATTGGTTGCAAATGTAATGGTAGAAAAATGAATTGAGAGATCATTTTTTCTTTTCTTTTCATGATGGTTTTGATGTGTGAGTTGATTTAGTAAGAACTTAGATCTATTTAATATTCTCCTATATATCTACATATATATATATATTCAAAATTTTTACTTTTAAATAAGATTTTTATAGTTAAAGTTACTAAAAATAATCTTTATTCTTCTAAATATTTATTTTCTATGATGTAAGTATAAATAATAATTTATATTTATTATTTTTGATGCAAAAAAATTACAATGAATATAAAATATTTCATCATTTATTCTTGAAGAAAAAAATGGCTTAAATATTATATATATATATATATATATATATATATATATATTAAATAATAATACTTTAAATAATACAAGATAGTAGAAACATAATAATAAATATATAAAAAATTTATGTATATTGTATGGAAAATATATTATATTAAAATATTAAAATATTAAAAACTTATGATATTAGTGATATAATTTGTGTTTATTTTTAAAATAATAATAAATTAAATACTAAAAATATTTTTTACATTTATTAATGAGATTCTAATAATAACTTAAAAGTAAAAAGGTAGATATAGAAAAGATGATTATAGATAAAACATAAAATAAAATAAAAAATATATAATTGTAATAGCATAAATGACATAATTTCTCTTTGTAAGAAGATTAAAAGCAAATACATACAATATATATGGTAGACTGTTACAATCATACATATTTACTCCAATAATTACCTAAATAATTTGAGTATGTAGAAGTAGATTAGAATAGATAAATTTGATGATATCTTGCAGTAAAACTTCACAAAATTTTTATAGATGCAACTTTGACTTTACACATGTTTGTAGTCAAATGTTAGGTTAAAAACTTGGCTAATAAATTACTCATGTATCACATGTATTGATGGCTTGTCATAAGAGCTAACATTGTAGCATACATATAGGAAATTTTCTTTATAAGTCAAGACATGTGTCTTACAAGTTGGACACATGTTAGAGGTCATATAGAATGTCACCACAAAACTGCTAGTTAGATAGTATATATGGAGGCAAGGGTAAAGCCTTCTTTATTCTTATCAATTCATTTCTTACTTCTAGTCTAGTTTCAAGAGTGTCTAGATTTATAGTCTTTGGCAATAGCCATTCCAAATTCTTCTTGAATATACATACTTTCTTATTTCCATTTTGTCATCTTTCTTTTATATATATCTCACTTTTTCACATATCTTCTTTGAATTCTTGACCTTGATATAAAACAAAGAAACAACCTCTAAATATGTATAGATATCTTACAAAGAAATATCCATCTTTTAAAAATTCATATGATATTTTAATTTCATTAAAATAATTAAAAAATACTAAAATATATATTTTTGATGATATATCAATATTATATAAGACATGCAATTGGAAGATGTGAATATAAATATAAATATAAATATATATATAAGTATATTTTTTAAAGTTTTAAATAAATAATTTATATCAAAAATATTATATTGGATGAAATTAATAGATTTAATATAATACTAATAGAAATAACATGCTTTAAAAACAACATATTAAATTCAAATGTAAAATTTGTAACTATTATTAATTTTCTTAGGTTTAAAAATATTTTTGTAGTAAAAAAGACCATATACTCAAAAACGTATCAATCACATTTTTAAAATATTTCTTATACTAAAAGCTTATTAGAATAAATCTGCAAAGATCAACTCAAGTTTTTTATTGTATAGTCAAAAACCTTATTTAAAAATAAAAGAACTTGCTATATAATTTCAAAGAATTAATAATATTACAAGTCTTATGCTCTACAAATTATTTGTACAAAAAAAAGACTATAGCCATCATTAGACTTGTCTATTCTATTTTCAACAAAAATTACTTACATATTTTTAAAGTTCATAGTTTATTTTACATCCTTGAGATAGTTATATAATTATTTTGGTTTCATCTCTTTTTCTTTCTTACTTCCACCTTTTAGTACTCTTTATCTTACAATATTAATCCATCATTTAAGTTTCATTTTGTGTCTTCAGCAACTTGACTAGAAAATTAGCTATTAACATCATACAAAATAATGTTGCATCTATTAGTCAATGTTTTTACAAACTATAATATAGTATAAGGAAATTATTATGAAACAAATATTCAGTAAAAGATTTTTTTTTTTAATAATCAAGATATTTTTTATATTTTTTATTTTTTTTAAAAATAAAAATAAAAAATCTAAAAAAGTTCTAGTATATATATATATATATATATATATATATATGGATAGCTAGAAAGAAAAAGAAAGTATAGAATGCAAAAAAATAATGTGACTTAAATGAAATAATTGCTAGACATAGAAATAATATGTTTTGTCAATACAAATTGTACAAATATTATAAAATACCTATTCATACAAAAATAATAATATGAAGTAATGAAATAACTAGATTCTTTAATATTAATAATATAAAGTGTATAAAATAAAAATATATTGGATTCTAAAAATAAATTAAAGAAATTTAAAAATAAATGTGTATATATAATTCCAATATTTATATCAATATATATATATATATATATGAAGATCCAATAAATATTTTAGAAATAAAAAATATAGTATGAATTATAAAAATATTAAAGAATTTATATGTGATTTTAAAAAATATCACATATAAATCATATTTTGTATCCAATTTTAAAAAAACAACAAAAGATCAAAAAAAAAATCTAAGAATAGAAGCATTATTATAGACATAGAATTTCAGTTTATCATAGAAAAATATTTAAAATATATTTTTAATTTAAATATTTGTAATAATTTCCTCAATATTTTAATAAGAAATTTAGAAGTTAAGTCTAGATAGAAAATTCATTTTAATAACTTGACTTACAATTCTTGTAAAAGGTTTTTTATAAAAACTTTCTTTAATAGCCATCATAAGTGTGTGTCTGTATGTATGTATATATATATATATATATATATAAGATTATGATAATTCTTAAATTCTAATTTATATAAATTTATCTTTTAAGTGTTTAGTTTTTCTAGTCTATAAGTTATTATATGTATGTATGTATGTATGTATGTATGTGTATGTATAAGTATATATACACATACACACATACATGCCATACAATTATATATGTATATTTTGGTTGTTTTTATCTATTTGGAAATTTGGATTAATCTAAAAATTATTATGTAATGAATGAAAAGACGTGAGACTAACTTAAACAAAGGGTTTTAAATAAGTGATCTTGAAGGATTGTGCTCACTTAAAAATTAACTTTATAAAAGATTATAAGAAAAATTATTATTGTAATTTAAAGCAAGTATATTGATAAAAAAATAACCACATAATTTTGTACCAAAGATAAATCTAATGATGGTTTTAAATATATTAATATTAAAATTTATAAAATCCTTAAAATATCAATATATTTTAATTAAGAAAAAATAAAAAATACTAATAGAAAAGTCTTTGATGAATGCTATAATAGGCATTTAGGTTTAAATTAATTATTTTGAGAAATATGTATTGAAAAATAATTTTTTATATACAAAATATTATATATATATATATATACAATGCATAAAAGATATATTAAAGTAAAAAATTATTTTTATAGTACTAATATTCATGTACAAGACTTTTCGTAATAAAATTTAGATAGAAGATGCAAAAAAAATAAGATTTACAACAAATACTAACATTTGTGAATATTTTAAATAAATCAGAAACTAAAATCTAAGAATTACCTCTTTTATATTTAGAAGTATATTACACTTTAAAAACAAGTCAAAATTATAAGCTATTTTTCATTTGACTCTTTTTAGAAAAAGTATTTAATTTACAAAGATTATATAGTATCTATTGTATAGAATAATTAATTTTAACCTACATTTCTAAAAAATATTAAATACTATTTTTATATAAAATACATTAATCTAAAATAAAAATTGTACAGAAGAAATTTTAGTATATATATATATATATATATATATATATATATGTTCCTCTTTTGTGTTTTTACTTTAATAAATTACACATTTCTTATCAATGCACTATCACCATATATATTTCACAATAACAAGTGGTAATTATGGATGGTCTTCTATGACTATGTTTTTATTTGTCTTATATACATACTAGTAGAAACCCATACCATTGGGCATTGGGATCTCTTGCACATCCATTCATTTTCTTCTTCATCTACGCATCCTTGTTGTCATGTTTCCATATTTCCTAGTCACCATATTCTTTGGTTCCCACATTTTATGGTTACCATGCTCCCAAAGTTCCTTGTGTTCCCTGTTTCACGGCCAATCAAAGAACTTCTTTGTCTGTGTTATACCCAAACTGTCACATGACATCATTAGAAGATGTTATACTTTGAATCTAACTAAAATCCTTAAATTATTTATCGGCAAGTCATTAACATTAACTAGTACCAAAATAAAATGCAACTAAGAATGTAAAGGTGCCTTCAAAAAGTTAGTACCTGTTGCACGTATTGATTTAATGACTGTCATTGCTTACATGTGCCTGATTACTCGATCATGTTCAGACGAATATCATGACTCTTTCAGTCTGTTTGAATTAAGCGTAGTATCTTCTTCGGTTATTGTACATGGTCAATATGACTCACATTTTGGATCTAGTTTAAAAAGTGGTATCTCCGTTCATCTATGAAGCAACTGATAAAAGATACATTTCCTTTGTGTATGAACGCCTGAAAGAAGAATGACCGTGTTTGATGAAGATTTGCTTCACGCTTGTTACAATATGTACTGTTGCAAATTACGTTTGCCGTCGATCAGAAAATTGAGGAAACAATGCACAACAATCACTTGTTGGGTCACTACAACAAAAGATAAATAAATCGCACGTGAACGTCAACACCACCTTGAGAGTACAACACTGGCTGCAACGTAGTCTCAGACAAAAATACCTGTAGTTTGCACAATCCACGTCTCCAGTTTTCGAGCATGGTACCATCAAATTGGCAATCCACAAAATGCCAAACTAAGTGATCAAACTATGTATCCAGAGAACAGGTCAATGACCTGACACATGTACTCTTGTGTACATTGAATAATTTGATTCAGAAAAATAGATTCTTGATGTACAAATTTAAAACACAAAGATCTATTTACAAAAAATATGTTCCACCCACTCCTGAAACAGGGATTGCCATCGTATAAAATGCTACAGATCCTATGAAGACTTAGGCAATGACTGAATGAAACCATTATATGACATCTCCAAATCAAAGGAGAGTTGCCTAGCCTGATCTTGAGTGAGCTCCTCAGATGCGCCCATTTTGTTGAGTCTTGCTATCCATTCCTTCACCCTCACCTTCCCCACAAAATCAGGGGATAGCTGTGGTACTTTGCTCAAAGCCAGGATAAGGTCTGACATCATAGGGTGAACCTGAATCATACGCATGAGCTTTGTATCAACAGAATGCATGTCGGATCCTTAATATATAACCGGAGCTTGCTGACCACAATAGCTTATTCATCACTAATATATCCAACATATATGGCTTATCCTTACAAACGTATATATATATATATATATATATATATATATATATATATATATATACATACATACCCTCTAAACATAAACGATACCAGGACTTTAGTAAACAATTAGCAAATAATGAGAATACTCCACAAACTACGAATCATAAAAACCTAACGAAGACACTCTCTCAGTCAAAACGAGAATCAGTAAGGGGAACGAGAATGCTGCCTCTAGTTCGTCTTGTGCTAATTTACATTTTAAGGCAGAAGATTTAACAAAGAAAGTTAGAGTTATGGTAGCGATGAGCCACAAGCAAATTGTTGAGTCTGAGAACCCTGTACATACACTAAAACTACCAACCAGACTAACACAGATTGAATAAATCGCAAGTAACAGATAGTCACTGATTTAGGGCTAGTGATGCGTCAAGAAAAGGACCATGCAACGGTTTAAAACCCAATGTAAAAGCATTTGACCCCCCGTATATTAATTTATGAACCTGATACTTTGTATGCAAGGCGAAAATCAAAGGAGAAATTGAGATAAGATCCAAAAGAACGCTAAAATATTAAAAATGAAGAAAGTAAAAGAAAAAAGAATACTAGTCCGCTTCTAATTGTCAATAATCCATTCTATAAAAAGCAGAGGCTATATGAGTGGACCAGAGATTTGATAAGTCTTCTCATACCTGATCAACAGCAAGCATGTTTAGCTTCAAAGCATCCATGGCGGTAATAAAAATCTGCACACATTCTGCCACAGCAGCTGCAGTGCCAGCATCCGAGGATGCGCTCTTATGTTCGACAGTAGCAGGAATTCCCGAGACCAACAGCCGGTTCAGAGCTGCCGGACAATCCATCCTATATGTATCTGCAAACCGCTCCACGTCCAGCACGCAGTTCTTCAACGCCATCTTCAACGTTCGAAACTGCGCTATCAACTTGGAGCATGCCGGTTCATACTCCTTAGCGCTTACCAGGTCCCGCACGTACGCCTTCTCTAGCTTCTCCGTCGTCTTCATGATCGCAAACAGATCTGCAAAGTTGTCATACATCTCCCGCTCCCGCTTGTCGTGCCATAGTCGCACCTCCCGTTGTTCCCCGAACGCCATGAAACCTCGCATCGAGTTCCCTCACGGCGCATCCTCTCCTGCTCCTCGACGCTCTCGATTCCTCCAGAAATGTTGCTTCGATTGAATTTGCGTACAGTTGGCAGCCCTAGCTGTGACAAACCCTAAAGCCTGATCTCCACGAAGGAGACGACAAAGCACTGCATGCCCAGACTCACCAGGCCCCATGACCAGACTTGGAGCCTTCTTGGAAAGGGGACTCTTTATTGTGGGAAGATTCTTTTAGGATGAAATACGTTATAATAATTGCCAATCGGTTACTGCTTGTGAAGTGTTGACTAATTTTGGATGTAAAATACTGGATACATCCATGTGATTACGGAAATCATACTTTTGCAAATTATTTTAAGAAGTCGTACAAGAAGTACATGTAATTTTACATTTTGGATCGGAATTATGTAGTAGATATTATATTTATTTTGAAATCAACAAGAAAAAAATAGAGTTTCTTACTAAATGTGAAAAATTTTAATTAAATATTTATTGATGTGATTTTTTTAATAAATAATCTTTTTAAAATTCTTAACCAAGTTAAATAAAATACTTAATATTTCAAATGAAATAAAGAAACTAGTACTATCATTCGTCAAGGGTGTATCTATAATATTAACAATATATACATTATGTAGCATTTAAAATAATATATATATATATAGTGCAAGGTTTTCAAACTATAATAAAAGCTATTTAATCAAATGCTAGATGCAAGCAAACATTTCAATTATTTTTTATTCTAACACAAAAATATTTTAATTTTATATATGTCACTAAAATCTTTGCATTCAACATATTTGTAATATTATTTGATATCCAATGCTTTATTTTCCATTAATTTTATTAAGTATATTATAGTACTTATAGATTTCAAAATTATTTGTAGACTTATTGAGAACTACGTATTAAATTTTGTTAATAAATAAGGATAAATGAGTATATTTTACCAACTTGTATTTTTACAATAGTCATATCATTGTATATTATTATTTTATGGTCATTTTTGATATATCCATATAGAAGAAGAAAATTATTTTCTATCATTTTGTTACTAAATAGGCTTGAAAGAGTTTGTAAGATAAAAACTGTAAGCATCCCTTCAAAATAAAAGTATGTAAAATTCATTTAGAACATAACCTTACTACTAGATACATTACATTCCAATTTAGAGGAATTATATATTATTTATTAAAAATATTATCGAAGTTTTTAAAATTTTAAGAATAATATTTTTTAAATATTAGAAGATACATATTATTTTTTCAAATATTATCAAAGTTTTAGACCATATTCAAGTTAATTAAATTCCAAATAACTTAAGTCATTTGATCCATTGATTACTTAAAACAAAAAAAAAATATATATATATATATATATATATATATATAATATTTATTGTAATAAGATTTGAATAATCATTTCTACCTAAAATTTAGTACCATTAAAGAAATTAATACTATCTTTTTACCTCAATGACCACCAAATTTGCAATTTTAAAATTCTTATAGATACATCAAAAATTTTAAGACACTTAAAATTTGAAATTTTTAAAATTAAATTTTGGAAAATTCAAGAATATAATCAATACTAACAACCTAATTGATAATGAATTATATTATAAACACAATTGCAGAAGTTGGAAGTAGCTATGTAATATTAGACGCTAAAATTTCGATCATTTTTTGCTGAATTTAGAAAAGGAGAAGGAGACACAAGTACAACAAATCACCCTAATTGATTTTTATTGCAAAACAAGGATTTCTAATTATACTCTCCAAGTTCACCTCAATGACTTGTTTTAACATATTTTGAATGCAAAGCTAGAGTTCCTCATACACATAAACATCTTTTAAATATGCTAAAAAGACTACATTCTTTTTAATATATATAATTTTTTTTCAAAAGAGAATTCATCCAATGTGAACACTGGCTCTCAATGTCATTCCTACGTTAAGCTTTTTTTAGGTCTTATTTTAGTTTTTAGTTTTTAGTTTTTTTTAGTTTTTAGTTTTTTATTTATTTTATTTTTTTTATCTCACGTCCTATGAAACTAATCTAAGACTAAAGAAAAATAGAACCAGTGAGGATGATATTATTCACTCTGCAAACAGAAATTACCCCACAACTCCAGTGCAGCAACCGACACTGTTTTACAATCCACCGGTGAAATTAACAATAAAAATTTGGAAAACGTTGTGCATGATAAACCTTTGGGCATGAAGGAGGAGGAGCGTGAGGAGCACTTGGCCTTGAGAGCCTGTGGGGGAGGGGGGTTCCGGAGGTGACGCCCGACAGATTTGGGTGTGGGGGACCGTGGGTTCCTTCTTCCCCCTCTTCCCTGCCCCCATATCTCCCACTTACTCTTCCCCCTGCTGCCCCTCAGCTATGGAAGCCGCCGCGCCGCCTCCCGCATCGCAACCAGCTCCGACCTCGGTCTCGCTGCGTCCCGGTGGTGGCAAGTCCCTCTCCTTCCGCCCCCACAGTGCCCCCTTCCAGAATGGTTCGAGGGGTGCGTTTTCGGACGACCCTGCGGCCCTTAACCCTAACGTAGCCACCACCAAGTTCGTGCTGCGGGAGCGGCCCGTCAGGAGCTACCATGAGAGGATTCGATACTCTAGGGATCGTTTGCTGGAGTTTCGCGATGCCTGTACGCAGGCGCCGGAACAGCTTGTGAACTCGGGAATCAGTAGTTTGACCGCCAGCCCCGAGGTTGAGGATGATTGGACCAGGAGGGAGCCGAGGGATTTGCCGCAACCGCCTGTTGCTAGAGTTGCAGAGTCTGATGATAGGGATTGGAAGGCCCGGGCTCCGCTCCCTCCATCTGCACCAGTGCAAGAGGAAAGATCCTCGTCTCGCGAACAGCAAAGGGACAGGAACCCTAAGCACCGCAATGACAGAAATGACAGGAGCGATTTCAATGATAGAAATGACAATCGGGGTGCTCGCGAGCAGACAAATTCTTCCCAGGGCCAGCGTCAGCAGGAGAACGCACCCTCGGGGCCTCTTCCTGCAATTGTCAAGGCCGCCAATCCGTGGTCGGCTCGAAGGGGAGCCCAGTCCGAAAAGGAGAAGGTTTACCGGACGGTGAAGGGCATTTTGAACAAGCTGACGCCCGAGAAGTACGATGTGTTGGCGGAGCAGATGATGGAGGCCGGAATCAGCTCGGCTGAGATATTGCAGGGCGTGATTTCGCTGATCTTCGACAAAGCAGTGTTGGAGCCGACGTTCTGCGCCATGTACGCGCGGCTGTGCGAGCAGTTGAGCAAGGAGCTGCCGGAGTTTCCGAGCGAACAGGCCGGGGACAAGCCGATAACGTTCAGGCGAGTGCTGCTGAACACGTGCCAGGAGGAGTTCGAAGGCGCGGACGCGATGCGCGAGGAGATTAAGAAGATGACGAAGGCGGAGCAGGCAGTGGAGCGCGCGGAGAAGGAGAAGAAGGTGAAGCTGCGGACTTTGGGGAACATCAAGCTGATTGGTGAGCTGTTCAAGCAGAAGATGTTGCCGGAGAAGATCGTGCACGCTTGCATCCAGGAGCTGCTGGGGCAGGATCCGAAGGGAATACCGGCGGAGGAGAACGTGGAGGCGCTGTGCCACCTGTTCACGACGGTGGGGAAGCAGCTGGAGGAGAGTGCGAAGTCGAGGATGGCGTTCGACACGTACTTCGCCCGGCTGAGGGTGATCGGAGACAGCAGGAGCCTGGCGTCTCGAATCCGGTTCATGGTGCGCGACATCCTGGACCTGAGGTCGAACAAGTGGATGCCGAGGCGAGAGGAGATGAAGGCGAAGACGATCAGCGAGATTCACGCGGATGCGGAAGCGAAATTGGGACTACGACCGGGGATGATGGCACTTCGAAACGTGAGAGCAGCGATGCCCGGGTTCATGCCAGGGGTCGGAGGTATGATGCCAGGAATGCCCGGGATGCCGGGAATGCCTGGAGCAGGAGGGGGAATGCCTGGAATGCCAGGAGCAGGGGGGGGGATGCAAGGGGTTCCGACGATGGGGAGCATTATGGGGTCAGGATTGGAGGCGGACGGGTGGGAGACGGTGAGCGTGGGAAGGAGGAGCAGGAAAGACAGCTCTGGGGTTCTTCCGATGCCAGGAACAGGGGTTGTCGGTGGCTTAGGTGGTCCGACGGGCGGATCTATTCCAGCAGTTGGTAGTCGTCCTGCGAGATTTTCCTCTTCGACTGTGCGCACTAACTCTGTTGGTCCCAGAGCTCTACCACAGGGCAGCGGTGGGTTCAGTTTCATCGGCAAGTCAAGCGCGTTGCTCGGAAATAGTCCTGTCCCAACCATTGTCCCTGTTCGCCAGAGCGGTCCTGCTGCAGAGCCTCCTAAGCAGGAGGAGTCATTGAAGGATCCTGCTCGGGGGCCACCTGCTTCAGCTGAAGCACGTGTGGCTGCAGCCGGGCCTCCGTCTGCAGACTTGGTGAAGAGGTCGGAGTCGCTGCTGAAGGAGTACTTTTCTATCGTGGATCTGAACGAGGCACTGCTGTGTGTGCAAGAGTTGAAGAACCCTAGTTTCCATCCGGAGTTTGTGAGGATCGCGATTTCGACTGCGCTGGAGATGCGAGAGAAGGAGAGTGGGTTAGTGCTGAAACTGTTGGTGCACTTGCAGTCGAAGGGAGTGGTATCGAGCGAGGACTTGCGGGGAGGTGTGGTGATGGTGGCGGAGGGGCTTGAGGACATGGCGATGGATGCGCCATTGGCCCCGAAGCAGTTGGGAGGCATGATAGCAGGTCTGATTTTGTCAGAAGCGTCGGAGGTTCGGTTGATGCAGGAAGCTGCAGCGAAGATAGAGGACGAGTTTCTGCAGAAGGATGTGTTGAAGGCTGTGGTGAACAAGTTGAAGGAGAACGAGGCGCAGGTGGGTGAGGTGTGTCGGAAGGTTTCGGTGGATAAGGAGGGACTGTTGAGTGTGACAGTGGAGGGAGACATTGCGAAGCTTTTAGGTTAAAGCGAATGTCTGAATTATGGTAGATGTGATAGACCTGTGCAGATTTGCCGATGGACAACGGTTTGAGACTACCTGTTCGCACTGATAATCGGAATCTATTTCAATGTAGGCTGAGGCGCACTCTTCTGAAGGTGTCGTGACGTTAGTTTTATCCTCGTCTCTGTTTCTATGAGACCCGTGAATTTTTTCTTATTGCAGTGAGTCACATCAATATTGGTGTGCAATTGAGATTTATTCTGGCTTTTTCAGATTTTTGTCTCTTTTTCGATGAATTTTCTCTCTGGATTCGGGAATGCCTCTTAGAGTGCTGACTTAAGAGTACTAAGTCATATTTCGTCATATTAGCGAATGAGGCTGCAGACTAAGCGTACTCAAGGCATTGTTTCAATAGAAATGATTTCTCTCTGGAGTATGCATATCATTGATATTCTCAGTTGTGGTATGTATGATCTGTGAATGAGTTTCTGCAACGCCATTGAGGCTAAATTTTGTTGGAGTAATTTGAATTCTAGGCAGTTTTTGAAGTTGTGTCATGCATGACCTAAATGGTACTGCCTGTGTGTTGAGATGCAGTGGTCAACGAGATTGTCCTCAATGACCCACATGGTTGTTTTGTCCTAGACTAGTGTTCGGTTATTTCGACTATGCTTGTCCTGAGGATTTTTATCCTGTTTTCTTTTGTTGGATTTCCTACATTTGATATTTTGTAGTATTATACAAAAATTACATCTTCTAAATTATGTGAAGAAAATCTATAGAAATTCCGATACGAATGTGTGGAGACAAGTTTATCAAACCTTACCAGATATGTGTCACGATGCCTTTAGCTAAGTTCTTTCCATATAATACTTAACTTTTTAATTTTTCAAAAATAAATTATTAAAGCACTTTTTAACTTACAATACAATTTAATTCCAATACTTAGATACTATTATACTATTGCACTTAAATGCATGTAAAAATAATAGTGCAAATGCTTTTGATTCTTTATTCTTATGTACCTAATCCATTATGGCCTTCTAATTCTCTAAAATCTTTAAGTTTTTTTTGTAGACTTCTAAAACTATTGACTTTTGCATTCTATTTACTTTTACATTCTATTAGTTGAACCCGTGCAATTGTCACAGAATTAGTTCAATTAGGAATAAAAACAACAAGAGGGTGTATCCTTTTAGAAACCTGCAATAATCCAAACACAAAGACCAATTAATTATACAATGAGTTTGGTCAAGTTTAGAGCATAACATAGGAGAAAAATCAAGTCTCAATAGGGCAAGAACCACCATCTTTTAAATGCCAAACTATAAATTCAAGTTTGTCAAAAACATTTGTCTGTAAATAAGATTTTCAACCGCAAAGCACAAATGCATGCTGCTAATATCCTAACCAAAATCTTTTACATCCAAATATAGTGAGGTCAAATCTAAAATACTAAAAATTTAAAATTTAAAATTAAAAAAAAGGCTTAATATTGACAATTGGCTACTTACAATAGTAGAGTTATCTTCACCAAAGGACTCAAGACAAATGCTATACACATTGTCACATGGATCCTGAGCACTGCCTTCTACAAACTCCACCACAAAAGACATTTAAACCTTCAGCCTTATACACACCAGCAACCAATATCCCTTTAATCGCTGCTTAAAACCACACCCTAGCATGTCCCTCCACTCTATGCATGGATGAGTTGTTGTCATGCAGAGGCTTCAAAGTAAGCTATATCATTGAGTTATTTCTCACAATGCCACACCTATTTTCTTCACTGATTGTGAACTGAAAATGTAGATTTTATCAACAAATCAAAGTTTACATTGTTTGTAAGAGGATTATTAGATTCACTATTTAGATTGCTCTTGTACTTGCATATGACAATTGTGGAGAATCCTCTACAAAACTAAAAAAGTACAAAAACAATGACCAATACAAGAATCCAATCTGAAGTTATTTTGCAACTATAATACTACTAAAACCAAGCAGATCAAAGTTTGTTTTCAATTCCATGAGCAGTTCTTTCAAGCCATAGAATGAATTTTGACATTTTCAGTCAACACAAATTATTGACTTGAAAAAAAAAATACATCAATTTTAGTGGTTCTTTCAAGCCATACAATGAATTTTGACATTTTCAGTCAACACAAAAAATACATCAATTTTAGTGGTTAATGTTCATAAATCCTGCTAAGTTCCTAGTTCATTTTGTAAGAGTCCAGATGGTCAAGATAATTGGTTACGATTCAATAGACCTAGGCATGGAAGTTAAGACATTAACCATCAATTAAGCTTCATTATGAACATCAATCCACATGTGTTTGAAGGTCAATCTAACTACCTTTCCACATGATAAATCAAAAACTGTTGAAAGGTATAATAGGACCTATAAACATGTATGAGATTAGATTATGTCTATTCACATTTTTGAATCTGATATGAAGTAGATACATGGATTACAATTGAATTTGCATTAATATGCATCAAATGACCTTTTGTCGGACTATATCTAGTTTAGAATAAAGGTCTGTAATAATTTCTAATCTTCAAGCATTAAGTTTCAAGACCTATTATGCCATGAACAAAAATGCTCAATCCAAGCTAACAATCACTTAAGTGACTTTGAACTACATATACATATTATTTCTACAAAATTTAATATGTTAAAGAAATAATAATCATGAAATTTATGTTGATGTGTATAGAAAGATGAAAGTTATTGGTGGATTTTGATGTCATCAAGATCAATAGCCTTTTTCTTTGTAGCACAACCTTGAGCTTTCAATCAAATATAGTCATTATACTTACCATTGTATTTACCACACAATATGCTTTTTAGAGGCACATCATAGTAGCTAACTAAGACAATTATAATGCAAGAAGAGAAGAAAACAAAAGATTCTACTACTATCATCAATCTAATTAACTATTCAATTTAAGCCAAAATCTAAAATAAATCCTTGTAAATTTTTTAAATTTTGCAACACGTTCTCCATAGTCAGTACTACTCAATTGAAGATCAAATATGATGATTAATTAATAATTAAGAATGGAATGCTCGCTAATGTGGTTGTTTGATTTTTTGAAACAAGGAATTTTAATGCATAAGATACCAATTCAACTTAAAATTAGTTTTGCAAAGGTTGGTCATATTTTTAAAAGGTATATTCTAAAATAATTTGATTTTAAAAAAATTGGTTGTAAGTTTTATAGGATATTAAGAAATAAAATATTATTTGTAATATTATAACATAGAAGATAGATATTGACATTGAATCTTTTGTAAGCCTTGCTTATGATGTCAATGTGGTTATGTATGGAAATATATGTAAATAATAGACATATTTATTTGTATATTTACCTAAATAAGTTAAATAAATTGAAATAAATAGAAGTAGATTAAATTATTAATATATTGTTGGAAAGCTTTCTAAAAGCTATGTGGACTCTAAATATATTTGTAAGTAATTGATAGGTTGACAACTTGGCTAACTAATTAGCTACATATTACATATTTAGCTACTTGCATTGCAAGTTGGTTATGTAGAGCACATATTGGAAATTTCTTCATAAATTAGATACATGTCCAAAAAGTTGGATACATGACATATGGCCTTTAAGATATTTCCACATAGTTCTTTAGTAGATGATATGTATGGAAGCAAGAGTGAAGCTATTCTTATTCTTGTATTTTATCTTGATTCAAGACTTCTTAATTTTTTTGCATTTGATAATAGCCATTTTAATTTTAATTCTATATCTATCATTTAATTGTGTATTTTCTATCTTTTGATGATATAAGAGTGTATTGTTATTTTTTAGAATTTTATTAAAGCTTATGTCTTTAAAAATTTGATTAGAGTCTTAATTATATATATATATATATATATATATATATATATATATTAGAAGTACATAGTTTTTTCTATTTTTTATTGTTTTATTTTAAAGGATGCAAATTATCAACTTTTAAATTAATATTTTTTATTTTTTAATATCATTTTTTTAAAAAAGAAAAGATTATTCTTCTTTATGATTTTTTTAATTTAATGTTAAAACTTATAGATTATCTTCTTTTAATTTGGCACATGGATTTATTTAAAGCAATCAATTATATATATATATAAAAAAATCATGGATTCTATACTTGGTAGAAGTGAGAATGAATTTGCAACTATAATAAAACTTTATAAGCTTGTTAATATTCTAAGAAATTATTTTTTACATATTAGCAATTTCAACTATAAAAGCACTATTTCTATGTCCATGGAAGAAGTCAATAATGTGATTTGATGTCTACATTAAGAAGTTGTGCAATTTATAGAAGCAAGTAGATCAACTTCATAAGTAAATCAAAAAAGCCTTGCTACTTTAAGTATAAATAGATAAAAAATTAGTATGCTAGAAATTTTTCATAGAATGAGGTTAAAATATCAAGGATTTTTATTATAAGTCAAGTTTTATTTAAGGTTATATCATTGTCATTATATTGATGGATTTAATTAAGTTAGACTTATAGGTGCACTTTTATTTGAGAGTTCTCTTTCTTAATTTGTAACCATTGATTGTAAAGCATTTACAACTTCTTTATGATCTAAATTTATTCTTAAAAGTGTTTATAGCTACATTTAGAGAAATCAATGAAGAAATAATATTAAAAACAAAATTGTAGTCTTAACAACAAAGATTATAATGTTCTACTATCTATATAGTCAAATTCCAAAATCTTGCTTATAATATGGATTAGAATGATTAAGCCTTTATCAATTGATTTTGATATAGATTAAAAGTTAATATCAAAGTTTTATTATTTATAATGTAGAAAGAAAAGTCATTAGAATAATTTATTAATTAAGTCATTGCATATAATAATTGATTATTTGAAATGCATCAAAAACAAAGATTTGATTGAAATAGAACATATCAAGTCATCAAATAATTTTTAAGTTTTTAAAAACGTATTTACTAAGGTTGGAAATTATGCAAATTAATACAACTTAATTTAAGCAGCTGACATCAAAAAAAATAAAAAAAAATAAAAAGACAAATATTTCTATAAAAAATTATATTTATATTATAGAACAACAAATCATAAGGTACAAAAAAATCACATTATATCAACAAGTTTCATAACAAAGAACATAAATTTAATCATTGATAAATAAAAAAAAATATATCTAATTGCAATCAAATCTTTGTAGTTGGATAATTCTAAACTATTAAATATAGATTTTATACTACTATTAAATCCTATATCATGATTTAAAATATCTATAATTATTATAACTTCAAATCATAAATTTTTAGCTCAAATCTTTTTAGACACATGAGCCTTACTTTGTTTTATAGATAAAGAATTTTCATTATAACAAAAATTGATACTTTCAAAGAAGATCCAACCAACTCTAATAAAAGTTATTGATGG